GTGTGTGCGTGTCGCGTGTATGTACAGTGTTGTGTGTGGGACATCCAGGGTGATCCAGAGTGCGAACAGTGAGTTGTGTGGGCGCTCAGACGCCATAGCCAGTGGAAGAGAACTCTTATCTGGTTACGATATCTTTGAGTACTGTGTGGGCGCATGTCGCCAGTTTGCTGAATCGCTGTTTGCATGCTTGACGAAGTGTGAAGTCGAGTCTGATTGTAATACACAAGAAGAAGGTTGATATCATTTGCGTACAAGAAAGTAAGTTGTCAGAGGAAAAGATTGTAGAATTTGGCTCCTAGTGGGATGGGCCACAAATTTGGTCACCAGCCAGGGGATCCAAGGGTGGAGTTGCAGTTTTAATCCATCGTAGCTTAGAACAATTATTGATTTCTTCACTGATTTGTGGGGAAGATGGTCTTGGATTAAGTTGGTGATTGAAGATCAGGAATGGGTGATGCTTCAATGTATGCTCCTACGGATAGCAAGGATCGGAGAACCTACCTCTCTTTATCCCAGATTGCAAAAATCTAGTGATAGCTGGTGACTGGAACACGTCACTAGACAAGAACGATGAGATCAAAGGCAGTAGGGACACCAAAGCGCTGACGAATATGATGTCGGTTATGGATGTGTCTGAACCCTATAGCTTACTCCATCCAGGGAATCCGGGATTCACCTGGTTCTCTAATATTCGAAAAGCAAAGGGTACTATTCGCCGACGCCTAGACTTCTTGGCATGCCATTGTGAATATTGAGGAAATTGCCAACCCCGTTTCAGACCACAAACCCCTGTTGACTTCCTTCAATTCTCACAAGCCAGAAAGGGGCCCTGGGTACTTTAGGGTTAATACACAGATCTTACAAGACCATGGGGTAATGGTTTGGATGAAGAGGGTTTGGGACGATTGGAAACAGAACCTGAAATCCTTTGCTTCTAAATCTGATTGGTGGGACAGTGGATCCAGAATTTTCTCCAAGCACTTGAGCCTTTTTGCACGAATTCTCGCAGCAGGAAAGAAAAACCACGAAGCATCGCTAATTTGAAAAATTGAATATGCTGAATTTCGAATGGGCATTCACCCGATCTCCAACTCAGTTTGGAGTCCAATAAGGGAGAAGCATATGGCGGAGTGGGCCGCATACCAACAGAAACAGTCCGAGATCTGGGCTGAGCGTTTGAAAGTTAAAAGCGTAGCGGTTTACGATTGTATGACAAGGGAATCCTTCCACAAGTTGCTCCCAAAACGACTGACACATCCTATGAGCGAACTCATGCATCCCTTCGATTACGAGCTTCCGATTGCTCGAGGACAGACTCAACTCTCCTCCTATGCAGCAATGTATTATCAAGATATGCCAACTACTCGGTGCCCAGAGGAAGACATTACTACAGACCTAGCTGAACAATCCTGCCATTAGACAGCCTTCACTGCATCCTGCCATTAGACAGCCTTCACTGCAGGGCTTCCAACACAGGGAAAGCTGGACCTGGACCTCCCTGTCACAGAGGAGGAAGCGGGAGAAGCCCTACGCTCCATGGCAAAAGGGAAAGCCCCCGGAGACGATGGTCTCCTGATCGAGCTGTATTTAGCTATATGGGATATTATCAAAGGGGAATTGGTTGATATTTATAATCAGGTCCTGCTGGGAGGGAAACCTTTTAAAAGGAATGAGGAATGCCATTATCTTGTTATTGTACAAAAAAAACGACCGCTCCGACATCAGGAACTGGCGTCCAATTTCGGTGTTAAACATCTCATATAAGCTCCTTGCTAAGATCCTGGCCAGGCGACTAGGTCGGTATTTACCCTCCTTAGTGGATAAGGACCAAGCTGCCTTTGTGCAAGGCCATTCTATATTTGATAATATAATAATCCTCATCGAAGCCTTGGAAATAGTAGAGAGTTTGCATGCAAATATCTTTAATTTAAAGCTCGATTTAGAAAAAGCCTATGGCAGGGTGAATAGAACATACGTCCTTACCACCCTGAGACATTTAGGCTTTGGCGAGAATCTATGAAATTGGGTGTCTGCATTATACTCCCTATCCACAGGGTCAGTTATGGTGAATGGGAACCTATCGGAAGGAACCCTTCGCCTTAACTAGATCACTGCGTCAGGGGTGCCCCTTGGCACCCCTCCTGTTCGTCCTGCAGATGGAGAACTTATTGTGTAACATGAGAACGCACCCACAAATCCACTGTCTTACCGCAGGCAACTCACAATGCAAGGTTAAAGCCCTTGTGGATGATTTGTTTGCCATCTCAGAGAATTCAGCTTCCTCTATGAACGCTCTGAAATCCTGCATAGAGGACTACTCTGAATTGTTGGAAGCCTCCGTAAATTGGTCCATATCAGTCTTCTTCCTCCCTAGCCCACATCCCCCGGCAGTAAATTGGGGCATGCGAAGGATTGATACTAGCAACTTGGAAAGGTCCTAGGAGTGCAGGTTTCTCTGCTATCTTGCACGGTAGACCAAGAGGGCATTCTCCTCCAATGAACGATGCAGCGTGTCTCAACCTGGGGTAAAGCCCCCCATTTATCTATCGTGGGACATGTGATGGTCATCAATGGCTCCCCCTTCGCTCTACTATGGTTTGTAGCGGCTGTTCGCCCACTGAGCAAGAACCTGTGCTCTCTCATTCGTAGGGGCTCAGCCAGATTCGTCTGGAAACCCTTCGCCAAGGTATGTCCAAGGTTGCTTGGGAGCTACTCTGCTTCCCAAAATCAGAAGGGGGCTTAGGACTGATTGACCCCCAGCGGAAAAGCATAGCAATGCTTGTTCGCTGGCTAATCAGGGAATTCCTTCACTCAAAAGAAGCCCATTGGATTTCAATGGCGGAAGCAATCCTGGCTTCAGAGTGGAACCTGTTGCGTCCCTCAGATGTTTGGACCTGCCTCCTCCTTCACTCATATCAGAACAGAGTAATAAGACCAGAGTTTTGGAGAGCAGTGATTGGCGCTTGGATAAGGTAGCAGAATTGGATATTGGCTCCTGAATAATCAAGGCCAACAGGGTAGGACCAGGTACTTCAAGTAGTATCCCGCTGCTTGATTAGTTACCTTGTGATGCTATGTTTTCATTACCTTCTCTGTTACTTCATGTGCAAGGAAGATGAGCATTAGCGAACTTCAGCAATCAAACAGCATCATACATATGAGCCCAGATAGTCTTGACCTCGAACCACAGCAGACTTGCATCATGAGATACACCAAATAAGAACACCAAGAGTTCAAAATTGACAATGCTGAAGTAGTCCCATCATCATCAACTACGAACCAGAGTTGATATCCTATTGGTGCTCGGCGCCCATACTACAGGTAGCAGATCCTATCTAGCCTATACTACGAAGCAGAATGATGACATCAACAGCGTTCCCGAAGTACGAGCATATGGCGACCAATGTCGCACGCTTCAGCACCAGGTATGTCTCTCGTAACACTCACAACCC